TACGTTTCGTCACAGTACCGAGGGAGAAAATGTTAAATTTACGCCGATTCAGGGCGGGAGTGCAATACATTGATTTACGAAGATATATGTACAGTTTGTTCCGAACCAATTTGTGATCAGTGCCACCCTCAGCTCCACGCAGTACACGTGTCATGCGCAGTTCACGCACAGCACGCTGACGTACGATGATATAGTTGTGCAGGTGAGCCTCCAGGTTGCTATATCACTCGCACCCAGTGCAAACCGAGTGTTCGTGATCGTCAGGCCGTGAGTGGCACGCAGTGAGAGCAGCCTGTCACCGTCCGCATTCGCTGAACCAATGCCATGCGAACCGATGACATTTGTCCACACCGATGCATCACGCCCAACGCACGCGTTGAAATCACCCAGCAGAAATAGTCAGTCGCTCCTCGGCACAGACCGTATCACGGAGGATAGCTGAGTGTGGCATCGATCACGCGGGTCATCAGGACAACGCATGGTCGGACCGTACGTGCTTATAAAGGTGGCAAACTTACCTCTTCCGAGTCGTAGGCGAACAGTCATCAGTCGCGCGCTGATGCCCGTTGGTTCACCGACGAGCTGGCCATGGAGGCGATCGGATATTGCAAATCCGACATCATGATCACGTGGTGCTGAGACGGCGTTGCCCACCCAGTAGAATGTGTAGCCAACACCTGCTTTATGTAACTTACCTTGCTCAGCGAGCCGGGTTTCACTGAGCGCCGCAATATCGATGTTGTAGCGCGCTAGTTCCATCGCGACCAGTGCAGTGCGTTGCTCGGGGCGCTCACTGGAGTTTCGGTCCAGTTGTGTGCGCACGTTCCAGCATCCGATGCTGAGTGCTTTACGCGCAGGCATACGATTGCATTGGTGGGCAATCGCACGCGAGGTGTTTGTTGTGTTTCGGAGGTTTGCTTAAGGGACTGCGCCCCGAGCCTTTGGCTCAATAGCCTGACCCACAAGGCAGTGGGGATCAGATGCAGCTCTTGAATGTTATTGCAGAGACAGATTGGGATCTGCTGGACGGCCGTCACACGCAGCATTGGAGGTACTGGGACGGTTTATATATGTTTTGCGACCGTAATAGGATACGCACCTGCGACCACGGTCAGACGCAGGTGGGTTTTTGGTGGGTTTGCACCAATTTGACCAGGGACTGCCTGGCTTGAGGCGGGCAGTAGCAAACCATTGAACACCCGGAGGTGTCCTCCCACCGTCAGAGACAATGCGTGGCGCTCGTGCTCTACGCCAATCGAGCTGTGCGCTTATAACCCGTAGACCTGTTGTCTTCCATGGCTAGGTTTTACAGGAAGAAGGCCATCGACCATTTCTTAACCTCCGAAGAGGATGGACTAAGATACTGGCATAGTGCCCACTCCTGACATGATGACGACTCGGGTCCTCAGCCAAAGTCTTCGATTAAATGTACATCCGAAATGCAGCGGGTCTAGCACATGGTCAGTTCACTGACTCATGCGGATTGATGTCCTGGATCTTAGCAGGGGGAAGGGCGAAACCCAACTCCCACCCAGCGGTCGACACGAGGAGGCGAGGAGGAGTAGCAGCAGTGGGTAGATCATCTGTCAGGATCTAACCACCACCAGTCTCAGCGCACCATAGGCACCATATATATATATATATATATATATATATATATATATATATATATATATATATATATATATATATATATATATATATATATATATATATATATATATATATATATATATATATATATATATATATATATATATTGCCAGCATGTTTGTGTTATAATCTATAACCGAAGATACCAATGAACTTTAGGTATGTCCCTGGTGAGCTGCAGTTCCACCAGTAACCACTAGTCCTCCGTTTTTTGGGTGTTTCAATATGGTTTCTATTATGTTTGTTCAGATCCCCTGCATTTCACCCTTCACCGACTACTATAAACTGAGCAACGGACACTGCGTGTCACGTTTTCTTTGTCTATTTTCTCAGAGTTTGCCTTCTGGCTTGCAACTAATGTGCACAATGATTATGTGGCACACGCTAAACATTGTGTCATTTATCCGGCCCGCGTAAATTGTATTTTCTGGTTATCCGGCCCGCACCAGCCTTTTTTCTAATCATCAGGCCCGGCGTGTACATAGTTTGCCGGCCCCTGATCTAGCCTATCCGGACCCTTACTGAGGCGCTCCACAAGAACTTTGCCCACCCACTGTCACTCTTCTGCTACGTGTATCCAGCTGGTACCATGACCCTGGAATAATTCTTATGTCTGAAACAAACGCTTGCGATTTGGGCTCCGTTTGGATTCAAATTGGTCTGGCTCTTGAGAGTTCCGCAACTTATAGTACCCCAAAATTTAATATCCACGTTGCTATGTTAGACACTGTCTTTTTGTCAGGAAGCATTCTCCTGGTTTGTTAAGGCGTGAGTCATCTTTCATGACACCGGTCGCTGCTGTGCTCGTTAGCCTTGATTCAGCAAACTGTATTGTGCAGTCGCAAAAAGGTAAACGTGTTGACTTCCAAATCTGCACAATACTATCTTGCTCCCTGTTATAGGCTCGATATACACAAATGGAGTTGCAGCTGCGGTTGCTCAAGGACTCATACCATGGGTGTATCTATTTGGACCATATTACTAGTTTGCACGTATCACAACTATCACTGATTATTCTGAACTATGGGCACCGGATTTATGATGAGGTAATCGGTGTTAGCGATGGGAATGCAAGCTGCCCGCAGGTCCGCGTGCAAGCCAGCGCATTACATTCAGAAAGAATAAAATGGCCTGGACGGCGGACCTGACAACGATGTTGTATCTACAAAAATGCTTTGAAACACTGGTAGCTCGGAGTGTTTGTTCAAATGTTCATATGATTGTCAAGCTTGGTACTTAGGTTGCAAACGTTTTATCGCCAAGCGTTGTGACACCACCAGTGCTTATCCATAGGTGGTGCTCATTGTGAGAACTTATCTGTATGTACATTTAGGTGTCAGTAAGTTGAGATCATCCTTATTAGTTATCCATTTGGGGTCTCCGTTAGATCTGATTGGTTACAATTGGTCGCATGCATATTGCCGTGACATGGGAAGGCCGGTATCAATTCCATTCGTCCAACAATTCGTGGAACAGACTGCAAGAGGCGGTTATGAAATCTTTTGATTTCAATCCACCGCGTTTTGTATACTGAATCGAAAGTAATACACATTCTTATCTATGACTTCGTGGAATACCACAACTTGACGGGATCCCTTCCTTTTAACGTTACTTCATCTTACTTCGGTCCAGTCGATGCGATATCCCTATGCCTCCAAATGCCTTGAAACCAAACTGGGTGCGCGGTTGTCCCGGTGGTTTCTTTCGTGCTTCTGTATCCCTTTTCAATTTTATTCCAGTTTGTCTGGCATAGTTCTTATCGAAAATCTGATATTGGATCTAGTACCAAGACTTCATTGTCCATGGGTCCTCTGTAACCCTTTGCCTTTCGACCGGGTTCTACCCAGCGTGGCAGTTGGGTTAGGAGCCACTGTAAGACCGTGCCATTCAAACAACCTAGCTTTATGTTCATATATGTTCCTCATACACGGTAGAAGGGTCCGTTTTGTTGTCGTTTGTGCAGATGTGACATCTATCTCGACAGGGTGACAAATAGTTTTCTTATGGAATCTGACCAACAGGTACAGAGACATCGTAGATTGGAATAACGGCCTACATGCTACGCTATTTAAACAATAGCGAATAAGCTGATTAACGGCGTATACACTATGTAAAATAGGAGGGCTACAGCGTCATTCATCGTAGGATGTGAAGAATAATGTAAATACCGACTCTATTAGCCGGATTATTCACTTACATGAAACGAGGATCAGCACATTATCCAAAGGTGTGTGACATATAGTGATACCCCAACTGTAGCATTCAAATTTGTCGTGGACCGCTGTTACTCACGGCTTGTGTACTTGCCCCGTGCTCGATTCCGACAAGTACCTGTGCAAGGATGGGAGTGGAACCACTAGCCATCCGATCTATTGTTCAACGAAGTCGGACTGCGTCTGGAGTTCACTTCCAAGCAGGTAATTATTATCGAATTCTGTGGACTGGACGTTAAGTACATCTATAAGATATTTAAAAGGTTTCCGAGTAAACAGAGCCGAGTTAACGACGTACTACCCATCTCGAAGGGGGAGTGCTCACCCGGGTCTAGTCACCAGAATGGGACGAACATAGCTTGACCGTCGTGTTGAACTCGTGCCCGGGGATCTAAGTTCAGATCCACCGAACATAACACAGCAGGGCACCTACTCAAGTTAGACAATGTGAAGAACATCGTCCATGACACTATCGCCTTCTGAAAAGAAGTCTGTTTTCTTATCATAAGAGCTGCAGTACACAAAGTACCAGGCCTATCTCGGCCCATAGTTTAGAGGTAACGAGCTTGTCTCGTAATCTTGCGGGGTGGGTTCGAATCCGCGTGGGGGTGAGCGTTCTCGCGGTATACTCCGCACGCGTGCGACTGGTGGTGGTCGCAGGACAGCGAAGCGTCGTTACGGCGTACAGCTGACACATTATTATTACTATCTCGATGCTCATTTCAAAGGGATTTAAGGGAGGGGGTTCGGTAGGCTGAATTAGCCGTTAAAAATCGAACAGTCTCATTAATAACCACATTATCTGAGTGACTGCCTTTGAACTCATACGAATAGGCCGTCGATTTCGATACCGAGCTGAAAGTTAAGATTTCTTCCGGGGGCCGGTTCGAATTTGCGTAGGTGCTGGTGGTCTCGCGGTATCCTTAATCTGCATGATCAGTGAGGGTTTCTTCACCTCGAAACGCCGGTGCGGCTCTCGGTGTACTGTTGACGCCTTCCTCTTATTCTTCATCTCAACGTTAAAACAGCGCGTTATGCTGCATCAACAGCAATACGGTGCTTATGGTATGTGGTCTTCTTTAATTCCATCTTTTGATACTGAACAGTTTCCCATTTTTTACTTACCTTCTACAGCACCCATATCCATCGGAGGAGCAGAAGAAACAGCTGGCCTCTGACACTGGTTTGACAATTTTGCAAGTTAACAATTGGTGAGTTTCACCCATTTCGTGATACCCGTGCTTCCCGTTGCGTTGCGTACACATGCCATAGGCGGATACAGCATATCTGGCACGAGAAAATGCAGCCTTTGGGGACTCAACTTGGTTAATTTGGTGCCTGGTTAATAGAACCAGATCGTCGGGTGGTTACTACCGCATCCTCCTCTGAGTTTCAGGAGCGACGGGACGATGGGTGGGTTGAATCGGCTGGTAGGCTGGCAACTAGCTGTCGAACACGCTGTAGTATCTCGATTGAGCAGAACGCCGTGGTTTACCACATACCCCTATTTCGTCGTCATCATCGGGTACGTACTATTAGTCTGTTTAATTAGCCACACAGTGTATGACGCAATTCATTCGGTCGCAATGTTCAGCAGACACTTCACTACAATAATACATTCAGTAATGAGAAATATGAGGGTGTGGGCCAGAATAAGGGCGAGCTGTGTGCTCTCGAATATCCTGACCTCGAGGTAGCCTTTGGCATAGCAACTATTCTATCGGGCACATGATGGTTGTATGCAGGTCTTCTAGTCCGTCACATGGGGATTAGACCGGTGTTGTAGACAGCACATAAGTTTGTGTGGTTTCTTCTGCTCACGGAAGTGAAGCGTGTTTACCTTGAGTTCGCTTAAAGACGAATGGGGGACAGTAGGCCTCTACTGTGGAAGCCACTAGCTGTCTAAGATACTACGCCAAGATAAAACACGAGATTAACTGGTCAACAACAAGTGGATTAGCGCGAAAAGCGAAAGACATCACTAGGGCTTCTGGCATCAAACCCATTGAAATCGACGGAATAGCCCAAACGCATTGACAGCAATGACTGCCCATAATCCATGCACAAGACATTTGTGGGGCTGCTCTGAGGCGAATTTACGGGTTGTACACATATTTTCCGAAAAGTGGGATTCAGAACTCATGGTGGCGAGGGAACGAGACGGGTGAATTGATCACGCTTTCGGCGGGATACGCCCGCACATACACACGCGCAGACAGTGTGCTAACAGCGGTCACTGAGACTACGGCGGGTGTGGTCTGTCACCGACGTCGTGCGCATTATCGCTTTGTTTACACACGGTACTTTCAATTCATATCACGGAGAAACAAAATAAGTCACCCTAGTGACTGATTCAAATTGAGAAGATTGAATAAACCTTTTTGGTATGTAGTTTGAAATTCTTGGTAGGCTTAGATGAGCCAGTATGGTCAGCACAACTTTGAAGCGACGACAGACGTACCTGTCGTTGGTTGTTTGATGCCGATTGCTGCAATCCATTCATTAACCTATTTCCCCACTCATCTTCCCAGGTTCATAAATGCTCGGAGACGCATAGTGCAACCGATGATCGACCAGTCAAACCGCGCAGGTAATTGTCTTTTTCCCTTCTCACTTGTTCTTCGATAAAAACATCACACAGGTGGTGTCTTGCGGAAGTATTTCGTGTATGGCAGCTCCGAAGGGATTACGTCGTATAAGAGGATCCTGTCTTCACTGCAGTAATAGGCGTACATTTTCAGTCTCGCATTGTGAGGGCGCTTCATGGCAACGCAACCCTTGCTTCCTTAGTTTATGAAAAATTCTAAGGTCGCCGAAAGCAGAATCAGTAGTCTTGCATAAATTCATTGAAATCAATGTCCAGGTTATGGATTCACAAACATAATCCTGCTTCTCGGATGCACTCGCGGTGGGCAGTCGTTTAACACACGACCAACGGGAGAATCCCGAGTATATTCTCTTGTTGCTACTCAGCATTTGTAACCACGTCATTTAGTTGATATGCCAACTTCAAATGTGTCTTGGCATATAAGGACTGTCGGTTAGCAAATGACTAAGTACCGTTACAGGGGATCCTTAGAGGGGAGTTTTTGGCACATGTGCATGGTTGCACCTCACCACACCTAGTTTCCATGGCTCACCAATTCTTGCACAATGCCAGTAATGTCGACCAATTGTGTCGGGGAACATGACAAACTAATCTCTAACCGGACCGTTTCCCCACCAAGTGCACAAGCAGCATTTGAGCTTTCTTGTGGTCTAGCAAGGACACACACACACACACACTTTCTTTGGCAATGGAAATTCCAAGAACATGAACTGGATGAGCCCTACACATTCTGAGCGAGAAATTGCGCAATCGTATACATTACATCTGTTGACAAACTTGCAAACATGTAAGTGCCGAATCGATAGTTAACTTTTAGGAGGAAAAAAATCGGATAAAACTAAATGCACACTCCACCTTATCATGTGCACACTTACGAAGCGTGCCGCTACCGACTGAGCCGTTCCAGCGCAACAGATTGCTTATGAAATGACAACGGATAGTGCGACCCTAACTTGGCTACGTGATGCGAAACAAGTGTCAGGTACCTGCATCCCTTTCCTTCGACTTTCGGCTGTTACTAGCTAAAAACGGATTCACTCAAATGCACCCGAGCGTCATTGTCTATAGGTCACCTTCACACACACACACACACACACACACACACACACACACAACTATTTTCTCAATTTTATGAAAGGAAGTCAGTTCGGGGGATGGCTTACCACTTACACCAATCTATCGACCCGGGTCAAAAGTGCCGTAGTAAGCGCACGACCAGACAAACATTCGCAAACATAAACCTAATTAGAGTATAACACGCATTGTGAAATCATCCCTTGCTTGTTTTTGCAAACATCTCTTAAGGTAACTACTGACTTGCGCTTCCGAAAAGGTGAACGTAGAAAGGGGATGATACAGAGCCGAAAAGTGGAACGATTTTACACTTATTTCACCGACGCCTTAAAACCTTATCACCATTCCCTTCACGTCCGTTTGTCACCTCATTTGTGATTCTCCCCTTATGCTTAGTCTCTTCCGAGCATGCATGCTAAGCGCATACAATAAAATTAGAATGCGGCACCAGAATGGAATTGTATGCACTTGTTTATCCGTAGTAACTTCATAGGCTGGGTATAATATCTGCATTGAAATTGCCCTTGCCGGCCAATCGGTGAAATGACTAACTCCGAATGAGTTAGGATGACAATGCTGCTCTACGATCGTCTTTCTCAAAAGTGCCTTAAGTGGTAGCGGAACTCGCTTGCTAACACGGATTCACTGGATTAAATAGCGGAAAACGTGAACGCGAAAAGGCAGCTTTACTAATACAAACGGATGATAGTACTGAAGCGTACACTACAATTGCTTGAATTGGTCCTACCTGACTGTGCATACATTCGGTGATCGGTAAAACTATGACAACTGTTTCATGCGAAAGGTTATCATAACACTGGCGACGTTATCGCTGTTAAGGGTTGATGGGTTGCCGATGTATGGCTGCTGTCAGAGTTCTGGGGACAAAGATAAAGGGGCCTAATGAGTCGATGACTTTTAGAAAGCATTTTTTTTTTACTTTTCGGGAATCGGTAGAAAATAACTGCCCTGAGGGAATCTGTCTCGTGTTGCGCGTTAGTTAGAAGAAGGTGATTTTGACCAGCCATCTGCTTCTGTTACTACTTTTCCTCAATGCTAGTGTTCTGACCCTCTGCACCAGATGGCTCCGGGTGATCGGAATTCTTAGTTACGGAACTTACTGCAGTTCAGTGGTAACGAGCCGTTGTTACTTTTAATTTATCGGTGATGTCGCACACCTCACTGGGACGAAGATAGACGTTGGTGTTGGAAAGAATCGCCTTCATGCTTTAATCGGATAATACTCAAAGCATAGTACAGTGGTTGCAACAAATATCATGCTACTCATGTTTCACGTTTTAGGGATACCTACTTCACCGATCATCCTCGGTAACCATTGAAAATTGAATAGCATATACAAGGTCCCCGATGCCGCGTATCCGAACTCGGGTATCCGCTTTCGCTTAGCGCACATCCTACTTCTGCTCAGATCAAATAACTCGTAACCAAAGCGGTTGGTGACAATTGGCCACATCGATGTGTTCTGTTAACTGCGTGGTTGCCGTTTAAGTGTTCGATTGCACTGCGTATCCTCTTCAACCGTTCCATTTTCACTCAGGACCACACGGCTACCCGTCGGACGCTGCTGGATGCCTACCGTACATGGATAATCAGCACTTTGCGGCCTACGGTCGACCAGGTGCGTGGTGTTGAATTTCTTGTCAGTTACATCCACGTCCATGCTGTCTCTCTTTCGCTCGCATTCCGAATCCACCCGTAACGTCCTTCATGCATACAATAGAATCCAGGTTACCGAATGGGATAGTAATAGACAGACATGGCTTCCTGTCAATGCGATGGGCGAGTTGAAGAAAATCCCTATCACCAGCCGATCCTTTTCACATTTGTGTTTAATACAACGGTGCGAAAGCTAGGTAGAATTATCAGATTAATTGGCTTAACCAAGTATCAAGCGGATGCCGTTCACAAGTAAATAAATAGCTTTTTAAATTATGTTTAAATAAATGGTTGATCTTGATTTTTACTAGGCACCGAAATCGGCGTGATCAATAGTTAATAAGCCTCCCGTTCTTCACCCTGCTACTTGGTCAAATCACATACGAAGGCATACAATTCGCTGCAAACATGTACCATGGATGAGGGATGGTAAACACTCCAGTAATATTCTTAAATGCTGATCTGGTACATACAACACATTTACCATTTCCAAGCTAGCATGGATCAAGTAAACGTTCGGCATGGACATCATTGAGGGATACTTCGCAGCTAGGAGGAAGTAACTTTAGTTGCAATTCTAACGTCAGAAGATATGGAGACCGGTATAGTTGTTGGGAACAGAAAGATGCGCCACCATCCAGGAGGATTTATCCACAGGACCTCGGACATGTGCTTTTTCTAGTAGTGTTCTACAAATGAAAGCAGCCACTGATGCGGCTGTAAAATGGAAGAGCAAACTTTGGTTGCCAATTGCAATACACCGTAGCAGTCATCCAATAATCCTGATGGAAAACCATCCCTTTAAAAGCCCATTTTAACCAGCACACCTATGCTTATTGCTTTGTATCGGTGCTTTCTCTGAGCACATCTAAACATTAAAGAGTATAGCTCGATCCGACCTAACCATTGTTTCTAATGCACCTTGAGTGGACACACGTACTTTCATGGAACTGTAGAAGACGCTAGAGTGCTAGCGAGGCTCAGATCAGCTGCCGTCCCTTCGCATGTGTATGTGTTACAAATGCACCAGGATAACGAGAGACAGCTTGACAAACCAACTGACCTATGGCTGCGGAAGCTCTAGCAACAATTTGTGGACGAAGATACACGGTGACACTCACTAACTATACTGAGTCGTGTCCCCGATTTATTCTACACATCAACAGGGGTGAGAACACCAATCCACAGTAACAAGATTCCGATTTATTTTCACAGAAAAGCAACATGGTTATATAGCATGATGCGCAGCTGTAAGAACCAACCTTAGCACTGAAAGCAAGCGACCAAGCAAAGCTATTAACGACCGAACAAATAAAGAAGCAATCCGATGCGCCCAAACAATGGAAGGTGATAGCGTCAGGGTGGAACTCTGATCCGCACCAGAAACAGCGGCTGTAAACAACCAATGGGGTTGACGAGCTAACAAGTTAAAACAAATGTTAGCGAATGAGCCCAACCAAAGGAAAGTCTGCAATTATGAACCTTTGCATAAGCATACCGGAATTATTATCGCTGCTCTAGCACACTACGACAACAGTCGGTAGATCTGCATGACAATTGAACGCATTCAGAGCCGTCCCATTCCTCTGTTCGGAGCTATTCTACATGGTCGATCAGGATAGAATCTGTTTATCAGCGTCGTTAACCGACTTGACACAGAATGCTGCATTCCACAATGTGCTCCTCACCCCTAAATTTAAAGGCAAGCACGAAAGATGGAGACATCACAGTGCCAGCTCTCACGAGTAGTAGGTTCATTTGTATATGATGGTCAAATCAGCGCAAGGTTTGTCTTATACTAGGTTGGATCATCTTTTGAATTACTCGAGAAATATAAGAACGGCTAGAATTGAAGCTGTTGATCATAGGTAGAGTATCTAAACCAGGAACAGAGAACCGGATACATCGTCCAGGTCTTGGGAAGCACGTGTGGCCGAGCCGTGTCCTATAAAATCGTCTGTGTCTACCCGTCTAAACCGACTGGTTCCCCTCTTGGCATGCATGCCGACCAACTAGATGTGCGTATGTTGTGCACCCACATGACATCTGATGGAGTACGACCTCGAAGCGACCAGGTACTGGCATGACGAAAGTACGCGGAAACTGACGGAAGAAGTGCCATAGGTCGGCAGTGTCGTTTTCCTGAGTTCAGGAAGCGTAATTGGCCAAGCAACGATTGGGACTTACCCTCGGTATGGGTGACCAGGGATTCGGAAGTTTCCCTGCATTTGACTTTCCCTCGTTCAACACACGTTCCTTCGTTTGACCTCTTCTCTTTTGCAGTCTTCCTAGGTTAATGAAGCGAGATTTAACTACTCTGATGACTACACTTTTGACTCCTTTGGAATGTAGAACCTTAACCCAGCTGAAGTTGTGCAAAAGCCCGAGTGAAGTCACCGAACCTACGTCCGATGCATGTACCTGGAATTGAGTGCACAAAGCCTCACGCGTGGTCGTACCACACACGTGACCTGTGCGTTGCACCGCCATTCCCTTCTTGTCCTCTTCCGGTTCGTGCAGGCTGTGGTGGCGAACTCGCACTTGTCCCTCAGCTGGCTCGTTTACTTTGTCATTCGTTACATTATTCCACTTTGCTAACTGGAGGTATTTGTTATGTCGCCGCTGACGCCTTCACCCCACGACCGCAAGAAGAAGTCCAAGACGAGCCAGAAGGAGACTTGTATACATGAAATCAGAGTTGCTTATGTAGTTTGATGGCAAAATGAAGGGAAGCTACTAAAGTACACTTGAGCCAACCAACTGAAGGATAAACGTAAAATGCAACGGCGAATAAGCAACCGTGTATGTAAGAGCGAATCGCGTAGGTCCTTAAAAATAGCATCATTGGACTCCAAGCGTAAAGCGAACGACCATTTACAGTGACGGGCACTGGCCAATCAGAATGACGAAATGAAACGTTTACACAAAAGTCACGAAACAGCCGAGAATAAGGAATGCAGACCCAAAAGTTGAAAACTAGTACAATAATTATGTGACAACTAAATATTCCTTTAACATAACCAAGTAGAACAGTGATGAGAAGAAAAAACCAATAGAATATGTGCTTGCAACCAGCGCTGCTGAGAAGGGCATGACGATGAGCGTCCATTAACAATGACGTGGATGTACCAATCGGGGGCACCTAGTAGAGCGTTTAAACAACAGTCAAGAAATAGAAAAAAGGAAGAGTAAAGAATAGCTATCAAGCTCGTTCAAAATAAATGAATGTCTAATAGCTATTCTCCTAATAGTATGCGCATTCACTTGGCGAAGATAACTTGCCATCGGAATCCAGCGAAGCGCCAATTGCTGCTATTTACTCTGCGAAAGCATATAGGTTATCAGCTTCTTGAAAAGCAACTATTCACGCATGTGGTTTTTACGCTCATCCTACTGTCCAACAAAAGTGTAGTCGCGCATGTGGGGTGTTGGACACAGCAGTTGGTGAGTTTACTTACACTCTTCTGTATCGTAGCTACTAGTGTACTGAGAGAAAAGCTGACATGTATCTGTGCACGCTGCACTGAAAGGGTACACCAACTGGTCTAGTTCGGTTCAACGACATTGTGGCTCTTTGTTGGACTGCGTCCGGTCACTGGACATTGCTGTTATCATTCATGCGCTATGGCCGACAAGTACGTAGTTTGCCCCACATTGCCTCACCATCGGATCCAGCACCGGTATATCAATCAGTTCCCCTTCTATCGACTACGTTTAGCGGAAGATTGCCTCAGTTATTCCGGTGATAGCGAACTTTGTGTGCTAGTAATCGGCTTACCTTTGGCCCATTGCAGTGCTAAATTGAATTGAAAAAGGACGGTAGAACGCATCTGACAATCGTGCAGTGGTTTGTGTTTAGAATACTCAGCAATTTTTGGTGACCAAAAACCCAACTAGTGTATGTGTTAAGACACGGTTCACCGTTGCTTCTATAAAACATCAACCATAGTTGGTCAATAGTTTCATACGAAACACTTACACCTGTTTGTGTCTTCGTCTCTCTTTACAGGTTTCCACCCAGTCGGTTTTCAAAACGCAGAAATCTACGCCGCTGCAGCCGCAGCAGCCGCTGCCGCTGCGGCAGCAGGGGGCGGCCACAGCTCCGAAATAGACAGCCCTGGTCCCGGATCTGGTCGTTCCGCTGGCTTGAACGACAGTGGGTACATGCCCAGCTACCTGATCGGAGGAGCTGGGGGTGTGGCAGAATCCGATTTCAACCCATCCGGAACACTTTCCAACTATCACCGTGGAGCAGGTGGGGGATATTCGTCGATGCTCACAAGTCACCTACAATACGGATCCAACTACCCAACACCGTTGTCCACCCTTACGCCCACCGGTGGAGATTCTACTTCCATGGCCGGGCGTCAAGGGCATATGTTCCCCAGCTCCGGTCAGTTTGGTTTGCTTCCGACCACCTCTAGCAACACCACGACAGATATGAATTATAGTTTGAGTGACTCCAAACTGCGCTCGGGGACAACCGATGTGGAGAACGCTCAAAAGGCGGCGGCGCATCAAGCCACAATGGCAGCTGCGCATTATGCTGCAGCTGCTCTTGCGCTGCAGCAGCAACAACAGAAGCGAACTTCCTATGTGGGCAATCCGAACGCATCGGCCCCTTCTACGGGCTACACTACGTCCTCCAATGGAACGTACCGGACACTGACTAATGGACACGTTCCACCGGGATCGAATCCATCCCCTCACCTGAACGCACCATTCGGTACATATGGGAGTGCGACTTCGGCCATTGGTATACCTCCTGCACACATACAAGCGCCGCCTTCCAGTGGATCAACCGTACTCGGCTCCAGTTCTCCCGGTTCCTTTCTACCCACAAGCCGCCACCCCCTTGGATTAACAAACTATGGTCACCATGGCAACGTATTGGGTAACCACCACCATTCGAGTGGCTTCTTAACTTCTGTAGCAGGTCAGGACACACTCACGCAACCCTCATTACAAGACATTCATGCTGGGTAAACCGACAGGAATACAACTGTTTGCTCATCTTTACACGCCATGCTTCAAACTTGCCCTCCCTTAGCTCCTCCTAGAAAGTTACCCCGGTGGACCTTCCTTATCAGAGCACTTAAGACCAGCGCCTCTCCTCACTTCGAGACTGTATGGTATTATGTTCCAGATCAGCTTATGACCAACAAAGATTGTTTACACCAAAGCTTTGTGAGTGCATTGGGAGTGTCACTGAGGCCACAGTATCTGCGCCTTGCAGCGGCCCATCCATGCTTGTGGGCAAGTCATGCCAAACTCTTCTGTTGGTTAGGCGGTCGAACTAAACCATTAGAAGCTCACCTTTTCTTTCGCTCTATTTTCTAGTATTCCATCGCCTCCACTTAGCCCTCCCTGCGATAATCTGTGGGAAGTACGGCGCTGTGAACTACTGGAAGAGTTGCGGTCATCATGCGGCTTACTTCGCAAGGGAACAACTGCTATAAACTAGTGACGTACACATTGCAGCTGCGGTGACTGACCACCGGGGGACTTTCACAGTGGGTGAATGTCAACCGAAATACTGTATTGTCCCCCTTTCCCACTTATTCGTTCATGTCGCACGGCATATGACCGGCATCCTGTCGTGTCTGTGCACAGCTTCCTCACTGCAGCCACATTTGACAAAACAATCCCTCTGGCGCCTTCTTGGCAAGGGCGAATGGAATACAACGCAAACGACTGTCCAGCTGAGCACTACGCCCTGTCAGCTCTCGGTTGGCCATTTGTACACACCGTGGCATGTATACTGTAGCCTCGATCCCCTCGTTTCCCTCACCTTTTATTTGTATGGTCAAGTCTGTTCATCTTCTCACTTCTCTCTCAAAACTGTCCGCCTCCGTAGTTCACTGAGTCGGAGCATTGGGGGTTGAAATTTGGAAATTCTTCACTACGCAAGCTGGCTGCTGTACATGACCTAGTGCGATACACGCAGGAACAACCGGTGTCGGGGTGATTTGTGAGTAACAAAGACTCCGAATTCTGTAAGCAAATTGTACAATCGTAACCTGCCACCGTTTCCGCTGTGAGTTCAATCCGAACTGATCACACGGGTGGCCACTGCAATGTCAAAACTCCACTTAAGATCCGCGTGCGACCCCCGTGCACCGGTTGGATTATGCCAACTTACCATATCATCGTGCCTGTCACCAAAAAGCCTCATGCCGAATCGGTTGACTGTCTCGTCACAATTAGGACGTTCTGTGCGTAAGCTCAACAATGAACACCGACCACAATCAATGAAGGTTTGTTTGAACCATTAGAAGTGACGCAAAGTAATCGAAGAGCCTATTTGTCCCGTATACATGCAACCTGGTCGCGTGCTAACCCAAGCACGTATAGTATTGCACTGCTGCTAGTGGGATTCATCGAATCGGAGGACAATCTTAAGGTTTTGCATCCGAACTCAGTATGCAGACTCTTTCGATCTTCCAGATATTATAGGTCCCACTGACTGAAGCTAGCGAGAACGATACAAGCACACAGTATCCGTCCTGGTTGCAGCTTTTGGCGCAAGCATTTTCTCTTATGGGCAGGAAGCATAAGCTTGGCTCCGCATGAACAATGACCAGTGGCTTATTACGATTAAGCAGACTAATGCTTGGAGCGCTTTGATGACATAGTAAGGCGATGTTGTACCAGAGGCACTGAAACAAATGTGTTAAGTGAACCAAAGCATGACTAAAACCGAGGGGGCCTGAAATTAAATATTAGAGTATAAATCCGTGCGTGGTTTTTACAATTGTTTCTTGTGAATAATCTATAAATGCACATACCGTGCACTGCTTTCAATTTGTCATTTTAGTAAGAGCTCGCTACAGATAAACGATAAAGAATATCACACCTTATGCGACAAGTTGCAAAGGGATAAGAGCAGTGCCTAGTCGTATTTTTCAAATTTACCAGAGTAGCGCAGGAAACAGATTAATTTGAAACAACATCTGTAAACCGAAGCAAAAGGTGAACTCATCGGCGCTCTGCATGCGTGTAGTGCCCACTCGTTTCCCCATGGCCATCTCTGGGGTCGTTTTATGACTGAACTTAGCAAGTGGCAACACATACTACGGAGCCACTCAATACTTGGTCTACCAATATGAGTACCTTCGACATTTGTCGGTAGCGAAGACGATGAGACTATTGACATACTTAGTCGCCCGGCGTCGTGGAGCACCTACCACCGTAAACTCACGCTTTAGCATAACTTTTCGAGTATAGTTAGTATAATAGAGAAAAAGACACAAGTAAACATTGTCAGTCATGCGGAAGATCGATTATTCGAATTATTGAATTCCCTCATTAAGCTACTGGTGATGAATGAGGTCGCCCCGCATGAACACCTAGGTCACTTTACTGGGAAATAGTCTGCGGGCTGTGTTTCTAACCTATAAACCAGGTAGGCGCTTATCCACATTGAGTGTCAGGCCATTCTGAAACTGCGGGCTGAAGCCCAGTGTTGGATTTTGGAGTTATCTCCTTGTGTTCGCAATGCGACATCAATCTCTACCGGAACATCGGTCATTCCGATCACTAGGACCGCATCCGTTAGCTCGATGCGCCACCAGAGTATGCTGGAGGATCTGGTGGCCATCCGCAGCCTTAATCGCACACCCTAGATTAATATCATCCACCAAGAGTACGGGATCCTAGGCAGCGCTCCTAAATGAGTCATTTATAAGCACTAGGAATGGCGACGCCCCAGCCGTAAGAAAGCAGCACTCCACGCTTGACTTTACTGGGGTTCGGAAGGGACCTCCCACATATCCTCTGAGGAATATTAATGGGGAAATTTACCAGCAACCCTGCTAACTACAGAGCGTTCGGGTGGTTGTTTTTTAGTCTAAGAGTTTTGTGGGGGCACAGTGGTTGTAATCACATCAACGCGAGACTGCACAGCTGAAGGGCCGCTGTTTTGAGGGGGCATAGTGCTGAGTACACCTGTGCAGTTTACTGACTGTGCGTCTCTTTCCGGCATTGGATTCACGAGGATAGGTAGAATCGTTGTGCAATTATCCGGTTGCATTTGCTTTCTAGTTTGAAAGCAGGTAAATTGGGAAGAGTGTGGACTGAGGCTCAATATGTTCGGCGCCAACGCAGTCCCAAATTATGAGGTAACTGCACTTGCAAATTACAACAGACATGCTGACCAATCAAAGCACGGTAACGATGATCGAATTCCGGGTGGACGTCGACCGTGAGTCGTCCACGCACACCATGGGGGAAGTATGGATACTGGATTTCTGAGTTACCACCTCACAACTATTTTGCGACTAGGCTACTATCACAAGCAAACAACCCCATCTAACACCTCATTTATGTTTTGGCAACCGGGTAGAGTTAGTATGGAGACCTGAGTGCATAATGGACAAACACATCATGTAATAGAGAGAATTCCAGCGTTGTTCATTCCTAACATTACACCCGTGCGCATATCATTCATCGATTGACCTGGTGAAGCACCAAACTCATCAGTTCAAACACAGCCACCTGACTGCCACTCATCACTCACACTGCAAACAATATCGGCAATGAAAGGCTAAAGTAGGGCATTATCATCGTGGCGAGGAAATAGTCGAATTCTCATCGGCAGTCACGTGAAATTAAACACAGTACACACAACGGGGCCACGTAGACGATTCATCAAGGCGGGTAGTGCGTAAATTCTGCACGCATTCGAACTGGCACGCACTTGGGTATGTAGGGAAATCGGTATTTCACCGGGGATATACTAACCTCTAGCCCCCCCCCCCACCGGTGGTGTGAGAGATCACGCAGTCTACTGGAATTTGCTATAGAGCCCCGGAGTGGAGGCACCTCAGTTTCACCGAACAGTGACTCTTCGGCATCAACGGGTTGGATCCTTCCTTTATAGTTCCATCTTCGGATTGCTTCCAGTGCCTGACTCTGAGAAATGGAAGCTCTTGCTGCACTAGGCGATCACCGTACCGGCTGATCTCACGCTTCTTCGACACGCCATTTGCAAGCAATTATCGTTCATTGTTCAGCATATACGAGGGATTCTCGAACCATCCGATCATACGCAACGCCTCCCAGAGCTACGCAAATGGCTCTACAAGCCATTTGCACTTGGGTGTACACGTGGTGCAATTTGCTCGACAATACCACTTCTCATTTAAACGGATACTCTATTGAGAACACAACGGTACGCGGCACTGTGACAATGCTTGTTTTCACAGTCGCTGTGCTGCTATTGCAACCGCAACTGTCACCTGCTTCATATTCCTCCTGGATAGCATTACATTATGCCATTGGACACCTTGCTGCCCATGCAGACCACGCTGTGAAAATGTTGCATGCGATTAGCCAACTGTTTGAAGTCGTGTTCTAACGCACAAGCAGGGTGATGGAGATGGTGGGGAAGTCTTAAATTCAACATTACGACTACAGTCGCACTCTTCAACCGGTTATAACACTTTTCGGCTGGTGGAGTGTGTTTTCGGTAGTGAGACGGTTTCAAAGTACAGAGACCAATAACAAATACGATCTTGGAAGCAAAGAAGAGATGCTTATTCTTTCCGTTGGGGATCGGTTGATTAAGTGCCCACGCTACAAGGTAGTTGAACACACCAACCCAAACGGCGTAGATCGAACCATGTCAAGGGAAGTACAATCGTGTTATGTTTAGAGCCAAAATGTTAGCATTGGTATGCTAAACGAGTCCTTTTGATTCGGAGCTTGGCTGCTTGCAGTTCCGTATAGCTTACAATGAAAGATGTGAAGATGATTGTTACGGCTGCTCCGGCGCACTTTACAGCTGGAATGCAAAGGGAATCAGACAGTTAGACCCACGTATTGGCTTAGTTTGATGATGCTAACTTGGACCCTGTGGTAATGATGTGGTTTATGGGAATTGGACAGCCTGTGGGACTGAGATCAACTGCGAATTGTTTCCTCCCATAACTGCGCTATCCGCAAATCCCCTAGCAGTGTAGGTCAAGTAGTTGAGCGGAACTCCACTGAGTGTTGGTAGCTCTGACACTCAGTGTAATGCAACAAGGGAGTAGGGTTTCATCTTCCGTGGGCCTCCTCGACGCGCCACGGGTACACAAACACCACTGCTTTCGAGACTGGAAGGTTGGTTGCCACAGAGGGTCCGTTCCCTAGGTCCGGGGGGTAGTGGCCATAGCTCACCTGAATGAACGCTCTGGGCTTCGGAAAACCTTTGCAAATGCGCACAACAGTGCCTCCTCCTTAAATATAAGCTAATTCGAACTTGCATTACCAAACAACGAAATAAACAGATCGAATCGCCAGTAACAATGTGAATCCATGCGCTTCATATTCTTATATCCAACTTCCGACAACCCATTCCTATGATTCGACCTCCCCCCGTTCTTACTCATCTGCAGACTTGAGACTGGAAAGTAACGAACCAGGGCGAGTAGTCATGAGCCAATAGTTGAGCATTTCGATGCTCACTTACATAAGCCTACTTTGCACTAATTATAGTCACTTGCATTCCGCCCATCGTTTTGCTCATCAAGCTCAGAAAATGGTTAGTCGGAGAAGCGAAAACACATTTAGCTAGTGCATTCATCGGCGAAACCCATTCACGTGCCTCGCGGTCTTATTCCTTCGGTTTTACGCTGGTTATGGGGTGTGTAAATAGAGGTGTGGGCGGTGCACCGCATGCTACCCATGGCCTCCTTATAGACACAAGCATCCTGTGGCTGTCCCCGTGGAGGCCACAGAGACAGGCACATCCGGAATCGGATGCTGCCAATCCTATTGCATAAGTAACGCCCCACACTGCGTAGGCTTTATGGTTATTTCACTACGGTACCTCCGAACGACTGTCTTTAGCACATCTCCCAAGAAAGACGTAGTTGACTGAGCTGACATCATGGAAGTAAA